ATCCGGTGTGTCCCAGAGAAGCCAAGAGGTTGGACATCCGTGGAAAAAACAGTGTGTTCTCACTTCTGACTTACAACAATCCTAGTGGGGGTATTTCTGTTAGTCTGTTGTTACAGAGGAGACTGAGAGGTTAAGGCCACAAAGCCTTGGCAGCAGAGCTGGGACTCAAGCCAGGCAATCTGGCTACAGAGCACAGGTCCCTGACATTCTCCAGCACCGCGCCCCACAGTACATCAACAAGCCACATGCAGAGGAGGAGCTCTAATGGACCCCTACAGGGCCAGATAGGAAAAGAAGCCGGAAGTCTGAGAATAGGATTCCCAACTTATGTGCTTTTAAAAAATATTTATTTTTATTATTTTAATTATGTGTACAGGTGTATCTCTGTGTGGGCATATTGCACCTGAGTATAGTTGCCCAAGGAGGCCAGAGGCATCAGATCTCCTGAAGCTGGAGTTATAGGTAGTTGTGAGTCACCTGAAATGGATGCTAGGAACCCAATTCAGATCTTCTGTAAGAGCAATTTGCAATCTTAACCCCTGAACTATCTCTTCAGCCATCTCCCCCTTTTTTTGAGACAGGGTCCCATGTAGCCCTCAAACTCCCTGTGTAGCTGAGGATGACCTTGAACTTCTCATCCTCCTGCCTCTGGCCTCCAATGGCTGGAATTACAGTTTGTGCTGCCACATTGGGTTTATGCAGTGCTAGGAATGAACCAAGGACTTCATGCATGCAAGGCAGACACTCTACCAACTGAGCTATAATGCCTAGACCCATACAAGAAATTCCAAAGTCAATATAGCTCAACTCTAAATCATTGACTTGATGCCAGCAGCCACAGAGTGGCAGCTACCATTATTTCATGGGAATGTTCCATCCCTGGCAGAGGATGTGGTTGGAGATTTTTCAGGGAAATTATGGTCTTCCAGAGGACTCCTACCAGATCTGGGAATATTTTCAACAATACATGTTTACAGAGCAAGAGTGTGGTGAGCATGCGCGAGGACACACACACACACACACACACACACACACACACACACACACACACACACAAACACTTGAGCACAATTAAGTAATGAATTTGCAGAGATGTTTTGCAAACAGCTCTGCAGGGGCACATTAGCACCGGAGGCCTCCATCTCATGCACTTGCTTCATTAACTTCATCGAGTACCTGGAAAGCACCTAGCATGTGCTCAACCGAGCAGAAGCATCCTGCATAGGCATTGCAGGCAAAGGAAGTAAGGCCAAGCAGAGACTTCAACTGGCTTTCTCCTGGGCCAGATGGCCTAGCTCAGTTGCCCAAAGTCACCCACCTGATGATGTCTTTGCCCAAGATAAGAGGAAGTAATTTGTTCTTGTATGAATTTCTAAGGATCTTCAAACCAGGAGCTGGCTTGAGAATACAGAAATCACTGCAAGGAATAATATCTAAAATCCTTTTGACTAAAGGAGATGGAGACTAAAGGCATCCTCGGGAACTTGCTGCTACACAGAAGACAACCCTGGGTCTCCTAAGCCCCCAACAAATCCTTTTTCAGGATAGAGGAGCAGATTCTTCTGAAGTAGTTGACCATTTATTTCAGTAGACATTGCCTCTCAAAATCACAGTACCATCTGGCTTCGTATCACCAGAGTCTTTGTCTCTTAAGAAGACGTGAGAAGCTGAAGAAAAGGTTCAGCAATTAAGAGCATTTGTTGCTCTTGCAGAAGGCCTGCATTTGGTTCCTAGCACCTGCAACAGGTTATTCACAACTACCTGTAAATCAAGCTCCATGGAATCCAATGCCCTTTGCCCTTTTCTGACACCACACACACACACACACACACACACACACACACACACACACGAATGCCCCACACAAGAAAAAAGTGCTGAAAACATGGGCTGTGAATGTAGCTCAGCAGCAGAGTGCTTGCGGACATGTGTGAGGCCCCAGGTTTGATCCCTAGTCCTGGGAAAACAATGTGAGTGTGTATAAAGTTATACAGAGATATAAATGGGCTAATCTCTGGGAACCAACAAGTCTGCTCTTAGGAATATCTACTAGAGATCACATAGATTTTGGCAAAGATTTAAACATAAAGTTGCCATCAATACAGGAAAAAAAAACCTGGCAACAAACTAAATATAAATGAAACAGATAAACCATATCATCTTTCAAAAACATGTTTGTGAAGAACCATGGCAAGTGAAGACACATATAAAACCATTCGTATCTGATCCCAGAGAAAGGCCACATAGATACCTAGAGAGACTGGAGAAATGGCTCTCAAAAAGGACTTGAATTCAGTTCCCCCAAATCCATGCTGGGTGGTTCACAACTGTTTATAACTCTAGCTCCAGGGAATCTGATGCCCCTGGGTTATATGGATGCCTCCCACATGTGCACATAGCCATAGACAGACTCACACACATACACATAAATAAAAATAAAACAAATCTTTTTTTAATCTGTTGGACAAATGTCTCTTGGGGGAAAAAAGACTGAAAGGAAATGCTCCAAATGTTCCTTGGAACATGATTTGAGGCCTCTCCCAGCAGTGTATGTTTTAGGGAGTTAGTATTAACAGTCTGTCTTGTGGCCTGTGAGATGGTTCAGTGTATGAAGGCCCTTACAAACAAGCCTGGTAACCCGGTCAATTCTCGGGACCCACATGGTGGAAGAAGAGAACCAACTCCCAAAAGTTGTCCTCTGAACTCCACACATGTACCAAGGTACACACATACATTCATATGCACACACACAAATAAATAAAATATAATACAAAATTACTTAACCTATCTCAGTTGGTTTATTTCCCTTATTATGTCTCTGTGACAGTCTCTTCAACTAAACTCTCTGTATCATGCCCTCCAATGGGTCCTGTGTCTAACTCCTAGAGATGTTCAAAGTAGCACTAGGCTCCTCTCTACAGCATCCCTCCAACTTGTACATCCTCCACAGAATAGCACTATTTTAGGCATCGGAGTCCCTTTTCTTCCATCATTTCCCTTGGACATGAGTCTGAAAAATCTCTAACCTAGACTCCACTGCAGCTTCATCTTCTCTGGGCACCTCCCCAGCCCTCCCCATGGCATCCTCACTGTAGCTCTAGGGCAGCCACATGCAAAGCCTGCTTTCCCACCTACCTCCAGCTTAGACCCAGCCAGGCCTGGAGCATCAGAGGTGAGCAGCATGTAGAGAGGAGAAGATGAAGGGATGATCAACATATCTCCCTCCTTGCATACAGGGGAGAGGAATCCAAAGGCAGAAGGGGAGGGCCATTTGCTTGGTTCTCCATTGGCTTCCTATCTGAAAACTTGTTTCCATCCTGCCCAGCTGGCAGGCCCTGGGCACCTGGAGTAAAACATGTTCTGTTCTCAGTTGTAAATCCAGAGTCAATATACACAAGAAGGAACTGGCCCTGGGAGGCCAGTAAGGGTACATTTTCACAGAAAGACAAGATTCATAGATGAGAAGTGCCAGATGCCCCGACTGGGTCTGAGCTCAGTTCCACAATCCACCCTTTCCTAGGTGCTGAGTCTGTGGTAAGCATTGTTCCTGGTACCTAACAAAGCGCCTGAATCTTCTAATGGCCCCAGGAGACGCCTACTATTTTCATCCTCATTTTCTTTTCTTTTTCATGTATACGTAATGGTGTGTGTGTGTGTGTGTGTGTGTGTGTGTGTGTGTGTGGGAGGGACATTTGTGTGTTAGTGAGCATGAGCACAGCCCACAGCATATGTGTGGAGGTCAGAGGACAATCTGTGTAATGGTTAATTTTAATTGTCAACTTGACACAACCTACAATAACCAGGGAAGAGGGTTTCAGTGAGGGATTCTCTAGATGGGTCAGAGAGGCCTGTGGCATTTCTGTGAGGGACTGTCTTGATTACCTTAATTGGTGTGAGAAGATCGAGCCTCAGAGTGGACAGTTTGGAGCCCTGGACTGGATTAGAGGATGCTAGTGAGTGCTAAGCATGGATGCATGCACCCCCTTCTTTTGGTTGTGTGACCAGTTGCTTCAAGTTTCTGCCTTGACTTCCCCAAACCACTAACTGTAACCTGGAATTGTAAACCAAATAACCCTTTCTGCCCTAAGTTCCTTTAGTCGAGACATTTCATCACAGCGGCAAAAATGAAGCCAGAACAAACTGGGATTCCGAGCTCACATTACAGGGCCTGGTTCAATGTGTGGGTGCTGAGGATTGAACTCAGGTCCTTAGGCTTCCAAAGCAAGCACATTACCAACTGAGCTGTCTGTCTCTCAGCCCCCATTACATAAAGTCCAAGGTCTTCAGCATCAATGTTCTATCCTGCCCAGCCTCTCTTGTGTCCTTTGGTCATGAGGTCTCATGCTTCTCATGCTGTTCCCTCAGCTGGAAGGCCCATTCCCCATTCCAAACACACACAGCCCCGGAAACCTTTTCAGGCCAGGCTTAGCATTCAAGGACAATCCATTACCCTTTTTGAGATTCTCCCCTATTCCTCCACGATAGGTCTCTTCAAAGTTTATGCTGTGGATTATGCCTACAGTGAGGAGAGGATGAGCTTGGAATGTTGGCATTTAGTGACATCCTCTCTCTCTCTCTCTCTCTCTCTCTCTCTCTCTCTCTCTCTCTCCTGGCTCTCTAGCCCTGGAGACAGACCTAGGTTCAAATGCTAACTCTACCTCTTCCCAGCAGTGCGACCTGGTGTGAGGCTCACTGTCTGCCAGCCTCAGTCCCTGTGGCCTTACCTAAATTCTTCAAGCCTGGGCATCAGGCAGATAGTGCTTTGTTGGCTACTTACCGGGTGGAAGGTCAAGTCACTCAGCTTGTGTGGGGTCTTCTCAAGTTCCCTACTTCCATCTGGCCATCCCACCATGAATATCCTTAAGCTCCTCAAAGATGGAGTTCATACTGGTTCCCAGTAACCAACAGCTGGAACTCAGAATCACGTGTGGGTAGTCCCAGGGCCAGTGTTGATGGAACACATGCTAGGCTTAACACGTAATCCAGACTTTGTATTCCAGAGCCATTTGGGAGAAGCTATGGAGCTACTGAAGCAAGAAAATCAGTCCAGGAGGCAGAGACCAGATTCCTGCTCTTCAAAAACGAAAGTGATCGCCTAGGCTGTGAGCTCCGACTCCAGCGCCCAGAAACACTACAAGAGTGTGGCTTCAACACCTCTCAGCCACTGGTCATGATCATCCACGGGTGGTCGGTAGGAAGTGCTGACACGCTGTATTCTCTGTGTGTTCCTGTTCGCTGTCTTTCTTCCTAGTGCATTGGATTTCAATAATGCCGATGATAACTTCACACACGGCATTGGCAAAGCACCTCCCAGTTACTCAGTTCCAGGAGTAAGCAGGGTAGTGAAAATGTTATTCATATGTGTGTGTCTCTGTGTGTGTGCATGAGTGTGCAGGTGCCCGCCAAGGTCAGAAGAGGCGCTGGATCCCCTGGAAGGTAATTGGGTGCTGCCAGGCACGGGTGCTGGGAGCAGAACTCAGGTCCTCCTCTGAGGTTCTGCAAAGGCAGAACCTTAACCTTGACCCATCTCCAGCACCACATCAAAAAGTTTTATGTGGGTTCTAAGGATTAAACTTGGGTTCTGGGTAAGGCAGGTGCTTTGCCAATGAAGCCACCCTCCTACAATAAATGAATTGGAATTCATTTTTTGTCATCTATTTGAAAATTATTCTTTGAAGGGCTGGCCTCAAACTCATTATGTAGTCAAGGATGATCTTGAGCTCCTGTTCCTCCTGGCTCCACCTCCAAGGGCTGGGACAATAGCTGTATGTCACTCTGTCTGGTTTATGCAATGCTAGGGATAGGGCCTAAGCTTCATAAACATTAGGTAATCATTCTGCTAAGTGTATCCCCAGATATGAAAAATATTCTTGAAACCCCCACCTCACCTGCTCTGGAGAATAAACTGGCTCACCCACCTACCCTGTCACCTTCTTTTGTCACCTCCTATCCTCTGTCCACTTACTAGCTGCCCCCTTTCTCATTCCTTTCTGAGTGAGCTCCCCCTTCCCTGAAGGCACAGTCTGGATCAGGGCCTCCTGCAGGTAATCCCTACCACAATTGGTCCCTGAGTTCCCAGGCCCCAGCACCCTCTGGCTTCTCTTTCTCCTGGGCTTTCTCATTCAGTTTCTCTGACCCACTAGGCTGTAGGTTCCTCCCTGGAAAGGTTCTGCCCTGTTCTCGTCCAGCATTGCAGGTCATTATCCACCACACTCTAGGTGCTCCAAAATGTTTGTTAACTGATAATGATCAAACGTGAAACAGTTTGGTTTTAAAAATGCAACACAAAGTTGCAGGTTGCTGTAACAAAATGTGCTCTTTGGTCTCAAAATCTTGTTGGGCCAGAGTATGCAACCTCTGCAGACTCTAACATCACCACCACCACCATTACCACCTAATGTTTACACTAGAAATACTAATGCTGATAGCAACAAGAGCTTTGAGGACTTTGGGTTTCTGCACCCTGGCTGGGCTCCCTGTATTGTTCTAAAAACTCTGTACTAAACACACACACACACACACACACACACACACACACACACACACACACACACACACACCCCTTTGGTCTTAACAGCCCTCCTGGAAGGAAGGCAACATTCCCATGCTGCTGAAATGGAGGCACAGGGGTTAAATAACATACATGTAAAGTAGCTCAGCTGGGCTATTTGGCTCTCAATAAACATTTCCTCAATAAACACAGCTCAGCTCCCCTGGAAAGAGGGTGGGCTAATGGGGGTGGGGTGGGGATGGGGCATGGGGATGGAGCGCTACCATTTCCCCTTCTGGGGTTTGACCTTAAACGCTCCAAATTTCTCCTCAGACACACCACACTGCCCCCTTCTTGCCTCCACAAGACTGCCTGGAATGCCCTAGGCCCAGCTGTGACCACTTTCTTGCCCTCTGCTTAGTCTCCAAGACACAAAACAAACAGCTCTGGGAACACAGTGGGCGTGCCCACACATTACCCCAAGCAGGGGACACACAGATCAGGGCTCCAGTTTCAGGGTCATCCCATTGAAGGGCAAAGAGGGCGTGACAGAACAGACCCTGTGGGACAGTGGAGCTGACCTTCTGAAGTCTACTCTTGGACCTCATTTTCACACAGGTTTCCATTGTTTTAGGGTTCAGAAAGTGCTACCGTGGGGAAAAATTCAGACAATGATTCTCAGGTGGGGAGAATGTGGCAAGGTCTGGGCACACTGTGCTTTCAAAATCTGGGGCTGGAGATGGGGTTGACACCACATGGGTGGAGCCAGAGATGGGCTGACAGCTAGGCAAGAGCTCTTCAAGCCCAAAGCTTTGGGCTGAGGAATCCCAGGCCACGGCCTTTTTGTTGGGGAGAAAGATCTAGCGATGTCCTTGAGACTGAGAAACAGGGCTGTGTACTCAGTGACCCCAGGAACAAGCACAGGGCTCCCTCTCCCCTCCCAACTAGGCTGACAGCCTGTGACCCACTCTCAGGTGGATGGCTTGCTAGAAAATTGGATCTGGAAGCTAGTGGGTGCACTGAAGTCCCGACCCGTGAACGTGGGGTTGGTGGATTGGATCTCCCTTGCATACCAACACTACTCTGTTGCTGTCCGCAACACCCGTGTTGTAGGCCAGGACGTGGCTGCTCTTCTCCTATGGCTGGAGGTAAGTTGATTCACCTGCTCCTCTGACAGTAAGGGAGGTAAGTGGCTCTCCAAGAGATCTCCCTGCTTCCCCAGGAGACTTCAGTGTGCAGCCTGCAGGTCTGAGACCTCCCTTGAGCCATCTTCTCCCCAACCACCACTCCTGTTTGGACACCCCTCAGTAACCCTGGAGTAGCAGTATCCCTCCCTTCCTAGGCTATCCCATGCATCCATGGTATGTTGGTTAGTGTATTGTCAACTTAACGCACACTAGGAAGAGTGAACTCAACTGAGAAAATGCCTGTGCCAGAGTGGCCAGTAGATGAGTCCATGGGGCATTTTATTCATCATTATCATTATTAATGATTGGAGTGGGAAGGCCTAACCCACTGTGGGCAGTGCCAATCCTGGCCAAGTGGTCCAGAGTTGTACAAGAAAGCACACTGAGCAGAGCATGGAGAGCAAGTCAGAAAGTAGAGTTCCTCCATGGTTTCTGATTTGGTTCCTGCATCCAGGTCCCTTCCCTGAGTTCCCCTCATGATGGCCTGTAATCTGTAAGCTAAATTAAACCCTTTCCTCCCCAAGTTGCTTTTAGTCAGTGTTTTATCACAGCAACAGAAAGCAGAGTAGGACAGATGGATAGCTATGAATTCAGTCCATTACAAAATCATAAGACATTATTAGAGACCAATGAGCTGGCTCCAAGGGTTAAGGCCCTTGCTGCAAAGCCTGAGGAACTGAGTTCAATCCCTAAGACCACACACACACATACCTAAAATGTCATAAAAATTTTAAAACATTGGGAAAACAAAGCTATGAGATTTTTCTTGCAATATTTAAAGTTCAAGTGTACAGTTATCCATTATGAACTTTGTAAATGATAATGTCCTGTCACAACATCACACAAATTAAATGTATATATGCTCTTGAAACCTGTGGATCACAGTTTGGATGCCTCAATGTGGCCTACAACTATACTTCACCCAGTATGGCTCAGAGAAGCCAAGAGTTTGGATATATTAATCCTAAGGAATCTAAACACACTTAGAAGTCATCAATCCCACACAAGTGTGGCATCCCCGCTGTAATTACAGCCTTAAAAGATAAAGACAAGGGGATCCCAGGGCACCAATGTCCAGCTGAAGCCAGGCAGGAGGCAGCAGTCCCCAAGATATCCCAAAGAAAGGCCACCCATCCTCTATCACCCAAGAGGACAGTGAGGTGACAAGTCAGTTTCCCAATATAAAGCAGCACCAAGCATGGATGGATGCCCGCAGAAGCAGGTCCTATGGAAGGCTCTTGGCCTCATACCACTCCTTCTTACAACCCTCTTGCCCTGTCTTGCAGGAATCTGTGAAATTTTCTCTGAGTGACGTCCACCTAATCGGCTACAGCCTGGGAGCGCATGTCTCAGGATTTGCAGGCAGCTCCATGAGTGGAAAGCACAAGATTGGAAGAATCACAGGTAACCCTGATGGATAACCCCACATAAGATGGAGACTGCTGGGTGCATGGAGCACACACCTGCTTCCCTGTACTCATCAGGAGATGACACCAAACACTCCCCAACATGTCTTCTATCAGGAATTGCTGCTGTCCTGTGAGAACACAGAATAAAGCACAGCTGTTTCCTATGACCTTTCTTGCTGTGAACAGCTCTCATAGGTGTTCCAAATAGGTACAAAAGAGGATTCCAGTTACATTTTGTAACAGGAAGCTTCTACTGGTTTTGTTGTTTGTGTTTTTGTTTTTGAGACCTGTCTCATGTAGCCCAGGCCAGCCTCTAACTCTATCTCTATCCTGACACTCCTACTCCAATGTACATAAATACCTTGCCTTGCTAGAAGCATTGCCAGAGGAGTCAGAATTCCACAAAGTGTGGGCAGGAATGTTGCAAGCAAACTCGGAATTTGTTCGGATCCCCAGAATATGCATAAATGCCAAATGGGTGTGACATACCCCTGTAATTCCTGCCTCCAAAGGCAAAGACAAAGGAGGGAGCTCCATGGCAGGCTGTGTAGCTCTGTGAGGTCAGGGTTTGATTGAGAGACCCTGCCTCATTGAATATGGTGAAAGAACAATCAAGGATGACTCCTGACATCAATCTCAGGTGTCACGTGTACACCCATCCACCTGCAGAGGTGCCCACACACATACAAACATGCACATACCACACACACACACACACACACACACACACACACACACCGGAGAATAAAAAGAATTTCACAAAGTGAGATGTTATCAGACCTGTGCCCTCAGCCTCCCCATTCCAGCTGGCATTGTCACATCCTGGCATTATAACCAGGCCACCCACATAGGAGACAGCAGGAGGGCTCTTTACCCTGTAGTCATCTTGCTGTCAGCCTAAAGGAAGAAATATGGATCACACCAAAGCCGCAGGTGGGGCTGGAGAGCTGGTGACCTAACAGCTCACTGTCAATTCCTCCCTTGGCTGCAGCAAGAATGGCACTCAGGGCCAAGGCCTGCCTTGTCCTTCAGATGAATAAGAGGAGGAAAGTCCATGGTGCACACATACTCTCCCCCCAAGCAGTCAGCCAGGAGCCATTATTGCTCCTGCAAGCACTTCTATCACTTGGAGCCTGGGGCTTACTGAGCCCCTACATGTTGACATTTTCACCCCTTCCTAAGGTTGTTCTGGAACCTCCAATAAGATGACCTGAGTGTAGGAAGCCAGCCTTTTGGAGGAGACTGCTGACAACACACAGGCAAACAAATTCTTCCTTTGCCCAAGAAGTCAGAACTGCATATAATGAGCACCGTGGGCTGCTGCATTTTTATGCAAACAGATGCTGTAGAAGCTACCAGGGGAGGCACTTAAAATTGATTTGCTTAAATAAATCAAGCATTCACTCATAACCTGATTGTTACCTCCTGATCTGCAAACCTCTTTCCCCTTAGAATAATGCCTGGCCTGGGTGATTTTCAGCACCGTGAATTATTATGACTTTACAGCAAAAATGTTAGAGTGAAAGGTTCTAGAGAAGCACCAAGCCCTTGTTTTCCTCTTCCTGCTAGCTCAGAAAAGTGCAATGATAGCAGAGTTGAGAGGAGAGCCTTCTGCTGCCCTCCTCACACTCATCTATCCTGACTTTCATTTTCTTACCAGGGCTGGACCCTGCAGGCCCTATGTTTGAGGGAACTTCCCCCAGTGACCGTCTTTCTCCAGATGATGCCAATTTTGTGGATGCCATTCATACCTTTACCCGGGAGCACATGGGCCTGAGTGTGGGTATCAAACAGCCCATTGCCCACTATGACTTCTACCCCAATGGGGGCACCTTCCAGCCTGGCTGCTACTTCTTAGACCTCTACAAACACATTGCAGAGCATGGCCTAAATGGTAAGAACGGAAAGTCAAATAGAGCCTTAGCCTGTTTCTCATACTCTCCTGAGGCCTCCAGGACCACCTCAGCAAGACTAGAGATCCCCATGTAGGATCTCAAAGGCCTCTTGGGGGGTCTGGTGGCCCACAGGCAACTGCTCCCTGTGACAGTTCAGAAGGCCTTGGAGGCAAAGTAGAGGGGCACAGTCCAGAGCCATCACTTTCCACGGCTTTCCAGAGCAACACAGGAAGCTGTTTCAGGGGCATTCACCCTTGTGGGGACTGAGTCCTGGCCCTACCTGTTCTCCTCTCCTTTCTGGAACTTTTCCAATCTCTGCCTCCCCAGCATGGAGATTGCAAGCACACCACCATACTTGGCTCTTGTACCTGAATTCTGGGGATTGAACTCAGGTTCTTGTGCTTGCATTGCGATCGCTCTACTGACTGCCCTGTCTCCCCAGCCTAGGCCCTGGCTTCCTGACTGCTGTTCTCACTCTTCCCCACGCCCTGGTTCCCCCACACAGCTTTCAGCAACAGATCCATTGACATGCACAATGTCAACATACATGGGATAAAAAGGATTAAAGAACATGCAAGCCATCACCAACCACACCTTCCAGGCACGTGGAAACTGCTGGCATTCCAGACTTCTCATTGTTACAGCACCCAGATGAGAGCGCACCAGGTCACTCTGTGACAGCTGGAGACCCCAATTCTGCATACTAGCTTCCCACCCTTATCATCCAAATCCAGGCTGAGCACTCCCTGGGGAATTCCATCACCACCCTTACCTCTCAGTATCAGAAAGACCTTCACATACCTCACTGCCTCACCAACTCCAGTTGGCTGCACTCCCAGCTTTCCGCTACACCCCAGAGCCTTCTGGGAATTTCCCCTTGTCTGTCTTTACATCTCCCCAGTGTCACCACTCCTCCAGTCAGCAGCAGGTCCCAGCTGATTCACCCACTCATTTCTCAGAGCTATCGCACCCACCTTGCAAAACTCAACACAGACCCTAGCTAGGATAGCGTTTGGTTGCCACTTGCCTGGTAAACACATTTTGACCAGTCGCTGCCATTTTCTCTTCCATGCTAAACTTAAAATGACTTGACTTAACTGATTGTATGTACCCTGCTTGACTAACTCCCAGTCCTCTACCCCCTGTTTAAAGAGCTTCCATTCTGGAGCATTCCCCCAACCACACCTGTGCAGAAGGCAACTTGATGACAGCTTCCCACCCTCCCCACCCCAGGGTCCCATGAATGTCTTTGGGGCTATTTTCTGATTTGTTATAACAGCTGCCTCCAGGCACAACTGGGGAGATTTGGGGAGTGGTTGGGTGGACAGTAAGCAGGAGTGCCGCCCTCCTAACTGACACCAACAGAGGAGCTGATGGTGACCGAGATGACCAATGTTGCATTTAGTTTTAAAACACTAAGGGAGTGGCTCCAGGCATGATGACCTGTGCCTGACCTGGCTTAGGTATTTCTGTCTTCTGGTTGTTCCCTAACATCACTGTAGAATAATTTGTTACAGATTAGATTAGAAACTGAAAGGTTTCCTTTTAAAAGGTCAAATTTCTTGATGGGAGGATGGGTGTGTAGCTTCAAAGGCAGAGTGCCTGCACAGCGTGCAGGAAAACCTGGATTCCAACACCTGCTCTGCATAAAACCAGGCATGGAGTGATCTTAGCACTCGAGATGCAGGAGTTCAAGGCCAGTCTGGGCAACATGAGACTTTATCTTAAAAGAAAAGGGTTGATGGAAGATGGCTCAGTGGGTTTGGGCCTTTGCCATGCAAACTTGATGATCGCAGTTGGATTCCCAGAACCGTGTAAAGGAGGAAGGAGAACATTGACTCCTAAAAGGTGTTTTCTGACTTGCATGGTGACACGTGCATGCTCGAATACATGAACACACTCACTCAAACACGTGCGTGTGCACGCGGCACGTGCGCGCGCGCACACACACCCACACCCACACACACAATTTAATTTTTATTTTTATTACATTTATTTTGTGTGTGTTGGGGGTATGTGTATGTGTCGAGGCAACTTACAGGATTTTTATGTTAGTCACAGAGATCACATTTGGGTCTTCAAGTTTGGCAGTGAGCCCCTCTCCTCAATAAGTCATCTTGCTGTACCCCCAACCCACCACTACCCCAGAAAATTAAACACATAAAAATTTTGCTTTGGGGATTAGGCCCTAGACCTGGATGATCTGGCTGTGGTAAGAAAAGAAGTTCACAGCCCTATCCAAGTAACTTCCTGTCCAGACCTAGCACTAGGCCTTTGCTAACCATGTGATGATATCTCAGAAGTGAGCCGTGCTATCTTGCTTTTTCTAGGAACATCAGGTGCCTATAAAAAAAAAAAAAAAAAAAATCCTCCTAATCCATGTTACCACAGCAGGGTGATCTCAGTGTGGCACCCAGGGAGCGCTATTTTCTTTAACTTTCTGTAAAGAACCCTGTTGTCTGGGAGAACTCAGCAATCCTGCTACACACACACACACACACACACACACACACACACACACACACCTAGGACTGAAACCATGAGTCTTTTGTTGGGGTCACTTGGGGCTCAGAGTGCTAATTATCTTTTTGTTTCGAATCTCAGCCATAACCCAGACCATCAAATGTGCCCATGAGCGCTCGGTGCACCTCTTTATTGATTCCTTGCAACACAGTAACCAGCAGAGCATAGGCTTCCAGTGCAGCGACATGGACAGTTTCAGCCAGGGCCTATGTCTGAGCTGCAAGAAAGGCCGTTGCAACACTCTGGGCTATGACACCCGCATGGATTGGTCAGGCAAGAGCAAGAAGCTTTTCCTCATCACTCGAGCCCAGGCCCCCTTCAGAGGTGAGTGTCCTACCTGAGAGGTTCAGGAGCTCCTTCTGGGCTACAGTGTCAAGAAAAGCGCTATATGCATACGCAGAGTTGTAGGGCCCAATCAACACTTGATGCTCTGAGAATTCAATCTTTCTGCATTGTCTCACCAGCACTCTTGTCCACTGACAGAAGCCATCTCAGGGGCTCCTTGCAGCCCAGCAGGCAGCAAGTCCCTTGGAAATAATTGTTTCTCTTTATTTCAATAAATTATCTTGTTCTTGGGGCATCCTTGCCTATCATGTGGAGGTAACTCACCAGGACCACCTGAAACCAACCAGGCATAAAGCTTGGGACTGAGTCCTTAGTCTCCCAGTTCCTCTTTACTCCTTCCAATGAGCAAGGTTTCATGGGTCCAAGCTAATGTCCCTCACCATGGGGTCAGAGTGTCAGCAGCCACATCAGACTGCCCTGGGAAAGCTGTAGATGACACCCTGTGAGACTTACCTGGTCAACTCTGTCGTCAATATATCACTGTCCAGTAAAGGTAGCCATCCACTAACCCTATGTGGCTCTTTAAACACTTTTTACATTTTTTATTACTTGTATTTATTATATAATATATGAGGAGGGAGGAGGAATGTACCATGGTGCACTTATGGACATCAGAGAATAATTCACAAAAGGCAGCTCTCTCTTTCCACCATGTGGGTCTGGGGATTGAATTCAGGTTGCTGGGCTTGTTGGCAAAAGCCTTTACCTCCTGAGTCACCTTCTAAACCCTGATTTAAAATACTTCAGGGAAAAAAAAAACACAACAGAATTCCATTCCCCTCATACCAGCCTCCACTCAAGAGCTCAAATACATGGCTGCTAAATCAGACAGCACATAAATGAAACATTTCAGTCTTGCAACATTCTATTGATGGTGCTGGTACAACCCCTGTAATGCAAGCCACATAACTACCCCTTCTCAAACGGCCATGGCTATGGTCATCTCTGATGTGGGCTCCCAGCTACATGTGGAACCTTAAAAAGAACACATTTGCCCAACCCTGGTGTACAGTGAAGCCACTGTTCATATTTTCCTTGGACATGTGCTGTATATTTTTAGTCAGGGCCTGGTGTGTCAAGATAAATATCACCTCCTGATTGTAGCTTCACTATCATGGCCCACATTTCCCTGGCTCCATCAAAGGATCTGTGTCTCTACAACCCTCCCTGACAGAACTTGGGTAGATGCAGCTTTGGCAGAAGATAATCTGGAAATGGCTACCCAGTATATCCAGGCAATTTCTCAGCCATCCCTGGCCTCACTCAGCCAGAAGGAAGTGTTCCCAGTCAGGAGACTGTTTTTAAAGGATAGAAAGGAATCTGTATTAAGTCCTGCTTAGCTAGTACTGGGTTAGTGTCATCCTCTGAGCAGTCAGATGGGGTAACTAAGCATGTACTCAGCCTGGCATCATGCTGAGTTTATTGTCATAGTAACAGAAAGTGGGGAGAGGAGACTGAGGTAGGCTGGAGAATGCTGTAGGTTATAGGATGTGTTTAATTCAATTTCCTATAAACACTTTAAGATCAGAGAGGTCACACTGTTTGTGAGTGGTAAGTACTGTATCTAGTCACCACTAGCCTGGATTCAAATCTCATAGCCAGAGTGACCTCACAGTCCTTAATTGTTCCACTAACCTCTTTCTCCCCAGACCTCCTCTATGTGAGCAGACAAACTGCCACTTGAGGGATCTAGACAGATCTTTGGCTCTTCTCAGCTAATTCTTTGGGAGGTTCTATTGTATTCCAGGGAGAGTTCCAGAAGAAACAGTGAGAAACTTGAGATCAGCGTAAGGAATATTGACTTTTAGCCACAAAGTAAGGAGTGTCAACAAGTGTGGCTATGAGCCACTGAAAATGGGTCTTTCTGTTGGGCCTCACCTGCCTGGCCAGTCCTGCAGAGAGGGAGCGGAGAAGGCATCATGCAGTGGCATCTTCTAGAAGGCAAGGACCTCCATCACTTCCAGGAGCCTTGAGGAGTGCTCCATGTCAAAGGCAGGGAGGGCAGTTGAGTTACAAAGAGGACACAGGGTGTGGTTGCAAAGAGAACCCAAACTCTGGGCTTTGACTCCCCGGTGAGGACTATTATTACCACCATATAGCACAAGGAGTTGAAAACAAGCCATCCAGTATTATATTCTGCATGTACACACACACACACACACATGAATGCATGCATGCACACACATGTATGTACATACTTATTCATAAGCATACACACAAACACATACACGTTTATACATACTTATACATATATACATACCCATGTATATGTAAACATACATACACATGCACAAACTTATTTACATACATATTTTACATATACAATGTATGTAATTGCATACATTACCTACATACACAGATTTACATACACACATACGCATATGTGCATATATACATGAATAAATATGCACATATACATATACACACACAAATGTGGCCATCCGTATGCTTATATATACACAATTGACACATTATACATGTGCACAAATATACATGCACACACAAATATACATATGTACACAAGATGAAGAGAGACATTCAAACACATGCATGCATAAGCACATACACAAATACACCATATACATATATATACAAGTGCATACATGCATGCATACATATCCATATGCACACATATACACATGCATATATACATTTGCTTACATACATTCAGATACATGTATACATACATGAACACATACACACAGACACACAAAGACATGCATACATATACATATATACTCCGATGCACCAAACACAAATGCATTCACATACACACAGACACACAAGCATTCTCATGTATTTCCCTAGCTCCATTCTTAGGCAGTCAACAACACACTAAAAAGCTCCCCACAGAAGAGGTAGGCATCCAATCTCATGGCATCTGCGCATCAGGCAGTGGAGCCCTAAGTGTTGAACCCAGATATGACTGTTAGAATAAACACATACCCCACATACACACACTTACAAAGTCCCTTGCCCCTTCTTCCTTCTCTTGCCCTGCTCTGGGTCAATGAATCCCAGCCCTCTGGGCTGTCCCCCTGCCTCAGCACCAGGACCATACCATCCTTGGGCCCTCGGTCTCGTGACTGTCACCTTCCCTTAGCACTTCAGGAAAGCACTTGAGAGTTCATTGCTATATTACAGTGAGATAAAATCCATTCACAGGGGAGCAAAAGTCTTCTGTGATGTTTGCAGAGAGGGTCATAAGACCTCCGGACCCAGTAATAGTTCGCAGAGAAAAGGACAGGAAACAAAACATTTTCTTTTCGCAAATTCTATACTTTCTGTTCACCATGGCCACCATGAGGAGAAAAATTGGGGGTTTTGTTTGTTTTAATAAATAGCACTAGTAGAGTCCACAGTGAATGAGAACCCAGGATTTTCCATAGTTTGGACTCACCCAGGTTTCTGCTCTGGGGGAGCCACCTCATCTCATTCCAGGTCAGCAGACTCCTTCAGGCCTTTTATCTACAAAACATAAATCATTTCTGTGTCAGAACACAGGCTTATCTGGACTCTTTGAAGTCACAGGGTAATTTTTCTTTTGGCCAAATCATTTATTAGCAACCCAATTAAACACATTATAGGATAAGCAAGCAAAGCAGTCATGCTTTGCCCCTTTATCTTTGCAATTCTATGCACATCTAAGGAAAAAAAGTTTGACTACATTCAAATAAGAACCAATAATCAGGTTTTGACTAGGAACTGAACCCAGAGTCCTGCACATGCTAGATGAGCCCTCTCCCTGCTGAGCCATATCCACACCTAAAAGGCTTTTTTCATATTGAATTCATTTTACTTCAAGATTTCCCCAAAAGGGTGGCCTCATACATGCAGTGACAATGCAGAGTCCCAGTGTAGACACAGGGTCTATAGGAATGCTCTCTGAATATTGGTGGCCCTAACATCATGGAGGAGATCCCCCCCAGCATGGTCTGCCGTGAACTCCCCAGGGGAAAAGCTCACTCAGTCACATTTCATACATGCCTTTTGTTATCATTTCATTGTATTGTTTTATTTTAACTGTTTTAGATTTTTGAGAAAGGACCTCACTATGTAGCCCAAGTTGATCTCAAACTTGTGGTGGTCCTTCTGCCTCAGCCTTTCCAGCTCTGGAATTACAGCTGTGTAATTCCACCACACCTGGCTTTCTTCCTTTGCACACCTGCCTCCTGAACACGCAGCTGCCTCCCGGCATCAAGGCAGCTCTCCCTCATAGGTTGTGTGAGCTCAAGGGGCCTTGATGATCAGGTCTAACATCCCAAAATCCCAAAACTGCAGCCTCCCAGATATGGAAATCTGTCTCCTTCCATAGAGTACTTAGGAAAAGAGGAGAGAAAAAGCACATATACAGTTTAGGGAAAGAAGCTCCCTCTGCCCCAGTCACGGCTGGACCTTCAGGAGATAGGAAGGAGGCCTCTGCTGTAGGATCAGCCCATGATGGATGTTACCAGGTGGGCCAAATGCTTTGCCCTGGGCTACTTCGGGGTCAAGCATTTGCCACCGATTTCAAAGGACACACACCATTTGTAGGACACCAACATTAGGTGACATGAGAAGGGTCTTTTGCAACTAGACATGTGGTTTGGAGGGCTATCTCACTTCTCACTATGTAGAACTCTAACCTCTGGTGCCAGCGTCTGAAATTCATCAGGATCATCAGGATCTGTCAGTGTGGAGTTCAGCTAAGAAACAGGATCCCACAGTCTGGCCTGGGACTGTGGAAGAAGGCAAGTGGAACTCCCTGTAGAGGTGGGTGATAGAAAGGAAGTTGGGGAGGACTGTAGCAACACCTGAACATGACATCAGAAGGGGGTGAGAAGAGGAAAGAATAGACCTTGGGAGATCCTGAAGGGAAGTGGTTACAAGTTCTGGCAATATCCAAACTCCTGTGACCTCATGGGGATACATGGAGTTCCATTCATCCTGTTTATAGAGTTTGTTCTTATATGCCATAGATAATTTCATGCATCTTCATTCTAATTTTTGTTTTTCTTTTCATTCTTTCCTTTTGTGTTTCTTTCATCAAGTGAAATTACTTAGAAAAATATCTTTAAATTGTTTATTTTATTTCTAAATTATGTGGGGGGGCTGGGGGGAAGTAATTGCATGTGAGTTCAGGTGCCCATGGAAGTCAGAAGCAGGTGCAGGATCTGTGAGTACTGAGAATCAAACAGGGCCTCTGCAAGAGCGGTATATGCTCTTAACTACCGAGCCATCTCTCCAGCCATCTCTCTGGCTCTTAAAAAAAAAAAAAACATAGCTTTAATGGCATCTAAGAGTAAATCACACGCCTGGGCACATGATCTCAGAGTCAACTGTTCAACTTTAGTCATTAGTCACAAGAAGGTGAGTAATGCATTTCACTTCTTAGAAGCCTCAGTTTTTTCCTTCAGAAGATGCCATCACAAGGAAGATAAAGCTGGCACTAGAAACCATGTGAAGAAATTTAAGGCCGTTGCATGAGAAGCTCAGCCTCTGTGATTCAGGACAGGGCAGTTACCAAGACTCTAACTACTAGCTGGGCCCAGAAGCTGGTACCTATCTTCCTAGCTACTTACTAGGCTGAGGCAGAATGGTTACTTGAGTCCAAGAATCCAAAACTAGCCTGGCTAACATAACAAAATCCCGTCTTAGAAACAAGCCATCATTCTACCAGTATTAACTACTTAAGGTATTCCTGGTTTCTGTTTATTTATTTATTTACTTAATTATTTGAATTTTTAAGAAATGGTCTCTGTCCAGGACCCTGCTATGTAAACCAGGCTGACCTCATACTCACAGAGATCCTCCTGCATCTGCCTCCCAAGTACTGGGACCAAAGGCATGTACCACCATGCATGTGCCTGATTTATTATTAGTTAAATAATTATTTTAATTCTTCTCTTTCAATTTAAATCTCTTTTTACATCTCAACATTTTTCTTGTGCTATGCAGGAGCTATTGATATGGGAGCTATTTGTCCCAGGGAATAAATATTTTAAAGTTCAGCTTCTGGAGTTAGGCTTTCTGGGCTTACATCTCTACAATGCTACTTGCCACTAGCTGTGTGATCCTCAGAAAGTCACCTCTGTGTGCTGCACATTCCTTTGTAAAAGGAAATGATGATAGTATCAATTGTTGTGGGCGTTAAATGAGATAATATCTGCAAGGCACCTGGTGAAATCTCCACCGTTCTAGTCACTCATCTCCAATACCATGGGACTAAACATGCGGCCAACACCAAGTATGTCCTATAATGGAAGGCTAGATTGAAAATCCATAGCTATGGCTATTCTATAAGTGCTTAGGAATACACCCACATACCTCCTGCTTGGAGCAGCACAAGAGGCCTGCCCCACCCCCCACCACCCCTTGCTTTTGTCCGAATACCCAGGGCTCCTACCCTAGTGCCTTTCCTTTCTGCCTTGGTTCAACTTATAGCACCTCCCACTCATGACAGGGTTTCCCTGGCAACCACCAAATAGTGTAAGACCTCCCCAGAAGCTTCTGGGATGAGAAGCCAGGGTCCTTCCTTCCACAGCTGCATTCCACCCAAGGGTTCAGGACTTGGTCTTGGCCCCGTAGCTCTTGTCTTATTTTTCATCCACAGCTTTTTGTATTGTTGTCAGGGTGTCCAGCCAGAGCATCTGAGCATAGATACTGTGTTAAGGTAGACAAGAGAAAAGACTTCTTCCCAGAAGCCTGCAGAAGAGCACACTATATGGCTGCTACAACAGTGTTGAGAGATCTAGAACCAGAATCAGTCACCCTCTTCCCACAGGAAAGTGAGTTTGTGTGAGTTGCAGAAGCTTGATGCTAGGAACTGCCTAGAACATGGATATGTGGTCATTAGGGTTAGGAGAACAATAGTGGGAAATGACCCTGAGTCCCAAGGTCAGAAGACAACCTTGGGTGTCAGTCCTCAGGGACTGTCTACCTTTTTGAGACAAGGTCTCTTATTGTCCTAGAATTTTACCAAGTTGTCAGGCCAGCTGGCTAGCAAGTTCCAGGGATCCTCTGTACCTGCCTCCAGTCTCCCAACAGCTGGGATTACAAGCAAGTATGCCACACTTGGCTTTTTAGGTGGAGATTCAACTCAGGTGCTAACACTTGTGAGGCAAGCTCTTCACTGACTGATCCATCTTCCCAGTCCCCAGTCCCACTGTCTTTCAACAGACAACACTATCTCCTTTGCTTTTTGGTGCTAGGGATGGCACCCAAGGCCTCTCACATGCTAGGTCTCCTACAGAGCTACATCTCCAGCCGCCATCATTACTATTATAAAAATAGAATGAGCCCATGTCATACTGAGGATACATAGAGAGGAGTAGGAAGAAAACTAATAGCATTCATAGTCCCACTGCTCAGGGTGGAAAACGAACAAACATTGGTAACATTTTCGTACCTATCCATTTAAACTTTTCCTCTGCATTTTAAATTTTAAACAGGTAGAGTTTAAATTTGTGCTATATAGATAGTTGGGCAAGGGAAGGTATGCCTATAATCCCAGTACTGTGGAGGCAGAGGCAGGAAGATTGTCCAGCCTGGGCTACACAAGGTCCTGCTTCATTTAAAACATGTACTTGGTTTGTAGAGAGTTTGCCTAGCATATACAGCAGTGAATAAACCAGGCGTGGTGGAACATGTCTGTGATCCTGGCACTCAAGGAAGTGAAGCAGAAGAGTAAGTCCAAGGTCAAGGCAGGAAAGATGGCTTGGTGGTTAAGAGCACTGGATGTTCTTCCAGAGATCATGACTTCAATTCCCAGCAACCATATGGTGGCTCACAACCATCTGGATCTGGAGCCTTTCTTCTGGCATAAAGGTGCACATGTAGAGCACTCATACATAAAATATAAATAAATAAAAACAATTTTATAAAAAAGAAATTCAAGGTCATCCTTGGCAAAAAAAAAAAAGTCCTACTTATTTTTTTCTCGCCCCCATCTCTGCCCCTCTCATCACTCCACCACCTCTAGTTTTTCATTACCAGTTCAAGATCCAGTTCATCAATCAAACTGAGAAGCCAGTAGAGCCCACTTTTACCATGTCACTGCTGGGAACAAAAGGAGACACGAAGAAAATCCCTATCACACTGTAAGTACCAGTGTGGCCCCATCTGCAGTAATGATACTTGTTTCTCTCACAGGCTCCAGACAGACTCCACTTTTCAATGGGAACTTCCCACTGTGGCTGCCCCAAACATGTGGGTCGGTGGGACACCTAGCCAATCCTGTCTCTCACATTGAATCTCAGACCCACCCAGATCAGGGAAGGATCTCTGAGCACATCTGTGAAAGTGATGGGGCTGTGCCCTGTGAGCAGAGGGAACCAGAGGTGGCTCCACTCAGGTGTGCAATGCAGACAAGATCCAGACAGGGGAGAAGATGGTGGGGTATGCTCACAAAGACTCCCAAACACCTTTCCAGTGAGTTCAGGAAAACGTCTGGAAACAAAACTGGAATCATTCCCTTTGTCATATGTGTGCAAGCTCAGTCATCAGGGAGAGCCAGCCCAACCCCCATCCCCCATGACACACCTGCTCATACCAGCAGCCTCACAAAGCCTCACTCAGAGACTCCCCAGCTTTCCCAGGCAGAAAATGACCTCAACCTTTTCTGGCATCTCAGCCCTCCCCATAGAGTCCCTCAGGGAGTGACATGAGCTGAGCATTCCTTTCAAGGACAGCTTTTAGCTTCCTAAAGTGTCCGCAGCATTGGGTCCCTGATCATGACACTGATTCAGACATTCACCAAATACCATTGCAGTGCTCTGCTGGGAAAGGATGCTGAGGAGTTTGCCCTTAGGGTGGATGCTCACACGCCCAGTGGTTGGGTGGATACCCACCATCTTTTCAATGCATGGCAGAAGGAGCTGAGCTGAGCCCATACCAGGGCACTCTCCATTCGGATTGTTTCACCTAGGCCCAGTGTTACCCTTATATTGTCAGTATCTTCTCCTGAAGGGTTGTTCCAGATCACAGAAAGGGCATAGAGCTTTTTCCTGACACGTTTCTCTGTGTCAGCGTTAGGGGCTGTATGGTCTTGGAGACCAGTAAGTGAAAGCAGTAACCATGCCTTGCAGTAGTGCTTCAATCTTACTGTGAGTCAATGAATCCTTTCTTATGTGTTCTTTTCTGTCCAGTTAAGCTGTGTTGCTGTAATGGATGGTTCTGATTATTCTGAGAGAGCTCTTTTTATACTGAGAGAGGAGGAAAAACTGTCGTATGGGGTGTCTGTTTGTCAGCCTCAGAGACTGTCCAGATCCATCACCCAAGTCCACCAAGCCAAAAGATGTTAACTCTATTCATGACAGCAAAATATCTCAGACCCTTTTTGATGTGATTAATATGGAAAACAGCATAGTTTCCTGATTTTATTGTCAGGGAAACCCTTTTTAATCTGTCATACCTATTGCCAATATTGTCTGTTGAACACTGGTTTTGGAAATGCAACAAAAACACCCCAGTCACTTCGGTATCCTGAGTGTGCCTCAGTGTCACTTGGCTGCTACAGCTAAACTCAGTTAACTGGTTTCCTTTGCATATTTTCAAGGGGCGAAGGAATTACCAGCAATAAAACCTATTCCCTCCTTATCACACTGGACAAAGATGTTGGCGAGTTGGTCATGATCAAGTTCAAGTGGGAGAACAGAGCGGTGTGGGCCAATGTCTGGAACACAGTGCAGACCATCATGCCATGGGGCGTGACACCTCACTACTCAGGTCTCGTTCTGAAGACCATCTGTGTCAAAGCTGGAGAGACACAGCAAAGGTAACACTAACATCTCCTTATGCTGCACTTACAGGTTCCAAGCAGCTTCCCATCAGTCACAGGAAGTGGGTACCATGATGCCCTAGTGATAGGGCCCAGGAAAGACATGGGCCCTCCCTTGTTTACCCGGCCCAGAGTGGAAGACAAAGATGAACACAAAGGTCTTCTGATGCCTTGGCCAGCTTCTTCCCATCTGTGTCTGTCAGCCACTCCTCTGGAGTCTGAGGCTTCATGAAGCCCAGGGTGCAGATGGTCACTGGGGAAGGACTACTGAGAGCTGTTACATTCTACTTTGTTATTGATTCAGAGAAAGGCCTGGGAGACAGCAATCCCCAAATCCCCCTACCTCTCTCTCACTGTCTCTGTCTTAGTGTGTGTGTGTTTTTCTCTGTGTGTATTGTTTGGTTCTCTTTTTCTGTTTCTCTGTCTCTCTATCTCTCTGTCCCCTCCCCCAAGTCTGCCAAAGAGTCACTGGAGAGCTTCACGTGCAGAGCTTCTAACACAGTCTTAGAAAAGACCTAGGAGAACCCCAAGGAAGCTTGATAGGAACAATGTGACCCCGCCCCTAAGAAATGCCACTTTTTGTGGTGTGTCATCTCCCTGGCCCCAAAGTTTCTGGGGACAAGAAAGGGTGGGGATGGGGATAGGAGAAGGAAGTATGGTCCAGTGGTGATTACAGACTTAGCAAGGCAGAGGGATGCTCTACTCACTTTGCCATGGCAACCATGCTTTCCTGCAGCTTTGTATTCTCCATGGCAGGACACTTCCATGCTTCTGAAGGCCCTTTCCTGGCTCTGCCCTCTTTGTTAAAGAAATCCATCTCTTGTCACCCACCTTCCTTATCAGAAGCCCATTTCCCTTTTGGGCTTAGCAGAGAGGGCAAACAGTAGGCTGCTCACCTCAGAACCCCATGCTTTCTCAGCCTCAGTTTTCACTGCCTGGAGCCTGCCCATGGCAGATTTATGCCTCAGTCCCTTATGCAACTGCTCTCTGGATTTTATCTCCCTGGAATACAAAATCATGGCAATTGCTGAAAGCTTACTCCACAGCTATCAAATGACCTCCCCAGGATCAGTCTGGGGAAATTAAACTGCTTCTCTCCTCATACCCTCAGCTATTCTTGCAAGAAGACTCTGAAGGCCCTTTAGGTCAGCAGTCCTTCTGAGCACTGTCCCTCTCAACATTCTCTTAGCTAGAGATAATTGCTCCTGTTCACTGTGGCAGTCGGTGTGCCTTGCCCTACAAGGTGATATAAAACACCACACCGCTGTCTACACTGATGCACACCTCATAGTACTAAAAAAGGAAAGAGAAGAGGGAAAAGGCTTAGCGGGCTCCCAGCGTACAGAGGCCATGGGACAGAGTGATCTTAACATTAATGTCACATGACCTGATAGAAGTAGCTTGGAGTGTGAATCAGGAGCCTGGGGTTCACACAAGTTCCATAACTAATGAGAGTCTTGCTTGGGACAGATAGATGCATTGCCCTTTACTTGCTGGTATGCTGTTTTAAGTGGTGCCTTCCTCCATTAGTCTTGGCGCCACTAATCTGACTTTCTCTGGCCCAATTTAGCAGAATTGCAGCACTGGGTATTAATATGCAGGTGTATCAGTCCCTTCCTCTGGTTTGTGGGATATACACGCTTGAAAGGGATGGAGGAGGCTCAGGAGAGAGGCTAGGCAATGACGTGCTTGTCTTACAAGCACAAGGACCCACATAAGAAAAGTTGGGTGCTGTGGCATAAACTTGTAATCTCAGTGTTAGCAAGGTGAGACAGTCTTCCTGGGGCTCCTCGGTCAGACAGTCACTCTACTTGGTAAGTTCGAGACCAAGAGACTGTCTGAAAAATACGAGATAGATAGTGTCTGAAGAATGATGCCTGAGATTATCCAGTGGCCTCCACACATGTACACACCCCCACGTGAACACACCCCCACTAGCACACAATACACACGTAAAAGGAAAAACGGAGGTAGGAACCCAGGAGATACAGGCTCTGCAATATTTCAAGTTACAAATATTCCTATATGTCTGCGCAGTACCACATGCCACTGGAGGGGTACCCCCAAACTCTTGAGCTGTGGCTTTCAGCATAGACTCCAGAGCACCATTAGGAAAGCAAGATAAATTGATTTTGCTAATGGTGTACTCCAGCCAAAGGCTTCTCCAATTTTAAAGAACCTACAGATTTTTCAGAATGCAAGTCCTACCTCAGCAGGCCTGGGTGGGACCGGAGATTCCTCTTTTCTGCAAAGCTCCCTGGTGCTACTGCTGTGGGCTGTGGACTTTAAATACTAAGATCCCAGTGTTGTACAGTCCAAAAAGACTAAAGACAAGGGACCAATGTTCACTATCTCTGGCAAACCAAAGGCCAGAGTCAAGATACAAACACAAAATCCTATACTCTCAACCACTCTTGTAAATACAAGGAATAAAAGAAAAAGTAGGTTAAGTTGCTCACCCCGTGCCTGCAGGGGAGGTCTCTCAGATAGATCTCTACTACTGAGACAAAGACCATGACCAAAAGCAACCGGTGGAGGAAAGGTTGTACTTCATCTTACACTTCAGGGAACAGTCCACTACTAGGGAAGTCAAGGCAGGAGGAACTCAAGGCAGAAATCTATAGGCAGGAACTGTAACAGAAGCTGAAGCCATAGCGGAGTACTGCTTACTGGTTTACTCACCCTGCTTCCCTGTACAATTCACAACCAACTGCTCAGGGGCAGTTCCACCCCAAATGAACAGTGTCCTCACACACCAATCACCCATCATGAAAATGTCCCACAGACTTGCCTACAGATCAAACTGATGGAGGCATTTTCTCCTTTAAGAATCGCTCCTCCCAGATATGTCTAGGTTTGTGTCAAGTTGACAAAACAAAACTATCACAGTGAGGTTGTATAGAGAGATGAAGAGAAAGAAAAGAAAAATAGGAGTAATAGAGATAGTTGATAAAATATAGAGAAGTGGCATTCTCAAAAAGAATAAATGGGGCTGGGGATGTGGCTCCGTGGGCAAAGCGCTTGCCTTGTATGCATGAAGCCCTGAGTTTGACCCCCAGTGCCACAAAAAAAAAAAAAAAAAAAAAAAACCAGTGTGGTGGCACATGCTTGTGATCCCAGGGATCTGGAGGAGGCTATAGGAGGATCAAGAGTTCAAGGTCATCCTTGGCACATAGTGAGTTTGAAACTGAGCTATATGAGGTCCTGGTCTTTAAAAAAGATTCTTGGGAGCCCATTCCCTATGGAGGGATACTATTGCAGCCCAGATATAGCAAGGAGGGCCTAGACCCTCCCCCCAAACGATATGACAGATTTTGAAGGTCCCTGGTGGAGAGCCTCACTATCCCTGGGGAGGAGTTGGGGGATGGGTTGGGGGGTTGGGGGGGAACATGGGAGGATGAGAGGACGATGGGTTGGGGGAGATGGAAATGTAAATATGAGTAGTAATTAAAGAATTTAAATAAAAAGGGAAAAGGATTTTTAAATTGCATCATTTTCTTATTGATTTAGTAAAGATTCTACCTTAGGTACAATCAAAAGAAAAAATAAACCATAAACTAAAATTCTCTGTGATGAGATAGACAGACAGACAGACAGATAGATAGATAGATAGGAAGGAAGAAAGGAGGGAATGATAGGGTAGATAGATTTGAAGTTAGTATAAAACAGCACCCCAGATGTTTGATTTCCTAAAGACACACTCTAAGAGGTTAGTGTCAGCACTAATAGGTAGAAGGGCTGCAGAGCTGAATTAGTTAAATGCTGGGGTACTGAGCCTGATCAAGAAGCTGAGGAGCTGTGGTTATCTTGTCTGTTCTGGAGTAGGAGAAATGTAAGAAGACTAACAGCCCTTACCCTCAAGTTTTCTAGGAGCTGTTTCTAGGAAAAACAAAGGAAGCAGCCACTGAGTGTAGAGCCCACTGAGGATTGCTTTCACCAACTTAAGTTTTATTTTTCTCTAAGTTATAAAAATATATTCAAACCTAAGAATATAATGTAAAAAAAACCATGCCACATGCATTATACAATTGGATTAATATTTGATAAAAAGTTAAACACTTCAATACACCCCATCTGAAATACCACACTGTGGGTTTTTGTTTTTGTTTTTCTATTCAGAATGACATTTTGCCCTGAAAATGTGGATGATCTCCAGCTTCACCCCACCCAGGAGAAAGTCTTTGTGAGATGCGAAGTGAACTCAATAAGACTGAAGCGAAAGAGCAGATGAGTCAAAGAGACACGTGCAAAAAATAAATAAACCTTATTCTTTCTCTACAATGGTTGCTTTATTTGGAAGCTAAAATTACACAAAGAATCATGCATAAATTTAAATAAAGCTTATATATAAAGTAGGGTGTGTTTGGCTGCTATAAACTGAGCTTTAAAGGTATATTATAAGGGGACCAGTGGGATGGCTCAGCCGGTAAAAGTGCTTGCCACCAAACCTGATGACCTGGGTTCTATCCCTGGGAACCACACTGCAGAAAGAGGGAATAGACTCTAGACTCTAGTAAGTTGTCCTCTGACCTCATGTTCTCTCTCTCTCTCTCTCTCTCTCTCTCTCTCACACACACACACACACACACACACACAGAGAGAGAGAGAGAGAGAGAGAGAGAGAGGAAGAGAAAGAGAGAGAGAAATGAAAAATGTACTAAAGGAAACATAAAAACTGATCTTAAACACTGTACAGCTATCTTCAAGTATTAGTACACTAAAAATTTCCCAATTTCCAAGATTTGTCTCTGATTAGCTGTTAATTTATGCAAATCAGTTCAAATGTTCGAGCCATTTTAGACTTGTTATTCTAATAGACAATGTCTTTTACAGTTAAGTCAATTTCCCCATATTTCCTTACAGTTTTTTTCTGATCAATTTTTTAACCATGCAGGAAAAAGACTTCTTTAGTACATTATTGACATTTGATGAAACGAAATCCTAACTAACCCTTACTTATGTTAGCAGTGCACTTGCCAAGACAGTACAGCTCCCTAAGAGAAAAAAGTTTACATCATAGAAGTTACACCATACACATCACACAGCTATCTCACTGGGTCAAATACAGAACAAATCTACTACCCTACTATCAAGAACAGTGAAAACTGTTTTAAATAATGCACTGATGAAAGCAATTATTTTCTTTCACTAATACATCAAATGTGAATGGAAAACTGGAACTATCTCCAGGAGTTTCTCATGGACTGAATATGTGTGTGTTCCCCAAAGCTCATGTGTTAAAACTTAAGGTAGTGATGTGATGGAAGCTGAAATTTGTAGTTGTTCACAGGCACCCACACACACACACACACACACCTGGCCCACCCTGGCTGCCTTTTTCTTTCCCTCTACTCTCTACCTCCTGTGTATGTAGCAAGGACTTGTAAACAAGGGTTCTTTCTTGCCTCTGCTGCTCTGAGCGAACAATTCTGATGCCTCTTGAGTTATGCGCAGCTCTCCAGCCCCTGGGGAAATGTTATTAAAGGAATCTAGCAGATTCTGGTTAATGGCCCATACTGCAGAGGACCTGAGTTTGGTTCCCAGCACACATGATGGACAGATCACACCCACTTGTAATTGCAACTTGTAACTCTGATGTCTTCTCCTAGCCTCTATGGGCCCTGTACTCTGTGCACATATACACAAGCACAGACATCCATACAAATAAATTAAAAATAAATCTTTTTAAAAATTTGAAATAAAAGGGGTTTGGTACCTATCACTTTTACTTTAAGCTGTCTCTCCTGATCTTTCCCATAATGCCTAGAGTGCCCCCCACCTCTGCCCAAGGAACCATTATGCTGCCTCTGGTACAATGTACCATCCCTCTTAATGTTCTCCTCTCAGGGCCTAATTATGGCTTCCCTGGACACCAGACTCTTTACCCTAATAAAACTGATTCTGAAAGGTGGTCTCAGCATCCTTCTCCACAAAGCAACCAAACCTGCATTTTCTTTTTTGCTGTGATATTTGGGAAGTTATCAGTGATGAGAACTCAGCTCTCCTCGGTAGGGTTAGTGCCCTAGAAGGGGTTTAAAGAGATGTGAGCTCTCAGCTCCCCACTATTTGAGAGTGCAAAACTGTCACTTGCCAGACCACAGATATGCAGGCTGCTTGGTCTCAGAGCTGGTTTCAAGAATTGAGAGATGAATGTTTAAGCTGTGACCATTTTCCATAGGAGCCAGAACAGAGTCTGTCAGACATCAAATTTCAAACTGTCTGATAAATGTATTGTGCTTTAAACAGCAAATTCTATCACAAAGCACATGATGGAAGTAGGCGCTAGGCATGATTATCTGTTGGACTAGTGTCTGAAATAATTCAGAGAGGAGTGTGCTATGTGCCCTAGACAAGGAGCCTGGGATGTATAGATTCTTAATTCCACATGGCTCATAGCTCACCTGCTCTCCAGACCAGAGCTCAAGAAAAAAAAAATCCCCAAATGATGCCTGTTTCTGACTCATCAGTTACCTTAATGATTTACTTTTGTTTCCCTTTGAAAGACACATAAAACTACAGGGGATAGGGCAGGGAGGAGAGAGGAAGAGCAAATGTTTCAGTGTATCCAGATGAAGCCATCAGACCCTGCAAAGTATTTCAACCCTTCATTCATTCACATGTGTGTATGTGGGTACATTCTCCTGATCACTCAGTTTTACATGGGTGCTTGGGACTTGAACTCAGGTTTTCATACTTGCAAGGCAAGCGTTTACCCAGTGATCCATCTTCCTAGCCTTCATCCTACCTTTAGATAAAATTTGTGAATTTGGCTCGACATATTAAAATAAGCAATTTTTTGCAGTGTGTCTGAAATGCTAAGGCTCACAATAAAATTACTTCACACTGAATCACATATTTGGTCACTAGTTTTCTGGAACAAAGTTAAAACATCCCTTTTTAGAAAACACTGTGCTATATAGTCTGAGGGTCTGTGCACATGAAGCCCAAGAAGCATGTACAGGAGAATTCATATCAAGGCTGGGGATGTCACTCAATGTGTAGCGTGCTTACCAAGCATGCATGAAGGCCTAGATTTGGTAGTCATGAGAGGAAGCATGGATACATGCAGACAGACATGGTGCCGGAGAGGTAGCTGAGAGTTTTATATCTCCACAAGGAACGGGAAGAAAGAGAAAGACACTGGGCCTGGCTTGAGCACTTGAAACCTCAAAGCCCACCCTCCAGTGTCATACTTCCTCTAACAAGGCCACTCCTCCTAATGCCACTCCCTAAGCATCATTCAAATATGAGTCTATGAGGACCATTCTTATTCAAACCACCACACACTGTCAGGACTAGATACACTCTAAGGAAAAGCAGCAAACCACTGCCATGACTGTGAGGCTATAGCCCCTCCAGGAAGGAAGAAGGACAACACAATGCCTCAGGAGCCAGCAGTATTCTGCTTCATCTCTGGGTTGTGGTGATGCAGATGTTCATAGTGACAGCCCTTCAACAAACCATGCATAGGCACTCTGGGCACTTTGTGTATAAATACCACATTTCACACGATGGGTAAAAAAAAAAAGGAAATAAAGAGCAGAATTAAACAAACATATTTCTGCTACAAGCACCATGTCTTCTGACATTTATGTAAATTTCACGGGTGATATAATTAGCAATTATTTCATCCTTAGCAAGAAAATTTTGAAATGACACATACGTCATAACATTTTGGGTCGAGAACTCCACAGGAATCCAACATGGCAAGTGGTTAACCTAAGCATTTGAAACTCCTTGGTGTGTCCAAATTTGGGTGCCAATTCTGTTGGTGGTGGATGATGTTCCCTGGGGGAGGTGCGTTCATCAACATCACAGTTTTAAAAGAACATTCGAGCAGGGAAGTCAAAGAAGGAGACTGCATAATGCAGCCACATCTGTTCATTGCACATGCGGCGCACTGGCTCAAGCAGTGATTACACGTGCCGCTCTCCAGAGACTGCACTGATTTACGAGCCCACTCAGGAGACACACTGGCCTATTACCATTCCGACAAAAGCTTGCCTGTGCTTCTCCTTGTGAGAAAAAGAGATGGAGAGTGTCCTGGGGGTACGGTAGCTGGGCTCTGAGGCCTGTAAGGAGAGGCAGGGCAACACCGCTTCCCACAGTTGGTGTGCACTAGAGGCGGGTTGGTTGCAAATAGCATAAAAGCTTCGTTGGTCTTGCTCATCTGCAGGGTAGCAAAGCAGGGTGTCCGGCACCAAGCTCATTCTTCCACAAAGCAGGAGCAGGCATAAACAGGCAGGCCAGGGGAAGACTAAGGGAAGTCAACGCCTAAAGTCGCCATCTGCTAGACAACCTTTTCCCACCGCACATACTTCTCCTCGAATCCCAATGGTCTGCTTAAGATTTACAGCCCCCAGGATACCTCATTCCTTCCCTCTGCTGTCTGTTTTGTTCATAGAGCCCAGGAGATCCTGAAACTTGTTATGTAGCCAAGGATAACCTTGAACCCCTGATCCTTCTGCCTCTTCCCGTGTGCTGAGATCACAGGTATGTGCCACCATGCCCAGCTTATTCGGTGCTAAGAATGGAACCCAGGGTGTCATACAGGTAGGCAAACGCTCTACCATGCCAGACCCTGGAGTCCTAACAGGTGTTCAGGGAAGTCATCACATCAGATTTGGGACAACACTAATCTAGCTCATGTTTGTTTGTGTGGGTCTTTGAAATTTCTCCTTTTCAAGTGTTTTACAACAGTACAGGAAAAATTTGTGAAATAAGGCAAGGGCATGTATAAAGAAATTAACCACCTCACCTCCCCCGCTGCCACCTATCCCTCACCCAAGCAGAAGTAACAGCCTGCTGCTATTGACACTTCAAAGGCCAGCAGACATTTACATGAGCCAAGGCTTTGGCCCCTCCCGGAGCTTGATGCTGGGTACACAAATGTCTGTCACTTGCTTTTTCTCTTTAAACTGATGATATGTCATTAGTATTTCTACAAGTCAAGACTTATGGATCATTTTCTAATTTCTATTTGCATGTAAATAGAATATTTTCAATACAAACACATTTCACATGTTGGAGATGCAAGTGCAGTTTCCTTTGTATTCTTTCTTTCCTTGACTGCTGCCCTGCTCTTTACATCAACAGGAGAAGTGTAAGCTCTGAGATGTTTCTGAAGTCTTATACACCTACATATGGAGCATGGTCATTGCTGGGTATGGGGGCACACACCTGTAATCCCAGCATTTGAGAGGCTGAGGCAGGAGGATTACTGTGAATTTA